TTTTTGTGAGATTTTGGAAGTAGTTTGCCATTGTCTGGTTCCTAGGNCTCCCTAGGCTCCTAGAAAGCCTTTAGAGCCTGGGGAGAGCGAAAAACAGGTCCATCACAGGCCAAAAGTAGGCAGAAGGCATGGGGGTTGCGTGTGCATGCGTGGGGGGTTGCGTGCATAGAATTATGGCTGTGGCATGCCTGCCCACGACCCCCAGCGCTCCATCCGCTTTTGGCATGCGATTGGAAAAAGGTTAGCCATCACTGTGTTTGGTTAATAGTATATTGTGTGAAAGTAATGGCAGATTGGGAAAAGGCTAATCAATTAAGCTTGATCAAAGTATCAATTCTAAATGGATTATACTAGCAAGAACACCAAGCATAATGGCTCAATTCATATAGATGTTAAATCAGGGTTTGAATCATTTTTGAACCATATCCTTCTGAAACAACCTGCAGCAGATCCCAATCATCCATGGTGGCTTAGATTGCATAATTAATAGCCCCAAACCATCTAGATGGCATTAGACTGGTAGCAGAAATATGGAGCTAGGGGAGGGAACCATCTCCACTAGGTAGAATGAAATGTGGAAACCTTGTTTTAATAAAATAATGGAATTAATATCTACGTTAAATGATTGGGGAATTATTTTTCTTAATATATAGTGTAATATTGTTGATGCCACAATTGTTTTTTTAAATATGTAGCTTGACTACACTGCCATCCCTTAGATTGTTGACTATATTCTTAAATCATTACATTTCTGTTCAACGTTATATGAATAACAAAATAAATCCTGTGGTAAGCTGGACAACCAATAATTTTTTTTACAAATAAATAGAATGTCCGGTAAAAAATGATTTAGAACAACATATTCGAATGATGACTATCCTTTGAAAATCTTGGATCACAAAATCAATCATTCCTATTAAGCACAATCAGTGGACAATATCAAATTTTGAAGGAACTGTGCTGGGGAAGACTATAACAATATAATCACTTGACAAATAAATGTGGGCAACCTGACCTTGTATAAACAGGCATACAGATGGAAATCAGTCACAATTGTGCTCTAGCAATAGCCTATGCCAGAAATGCCCCAGTAATTGCTTTCTAATGCATATATTCAAACCTCTTGGGATTCCTTCCATTAGAGAAACTCCTGCCTTATTAGTATATCTTCATGGGAAACACAATCAAGTTGGTATTTAAATCAGACGTAGAAAGTAGTTCTTTTGTCTGTTTTCCTTGAATAGATTACTGACTTGCTGTGTTTGGTTGAAATCTTATACAGTACATTTGGAGTTTGAAGATTTCAATGAATCACAATATTTGTGTAAGAAGGAGATGGTGAAAACAATCTACTTGAGTTTCAATCTTTTTATAGCGTGGCATAGAACTCACCAAAGCATAAAAAGATGATACACGTGTGACTTCTGTTTTATTTGGGAGAATATAGAAGGAGAGAAAGATAGTAAGGGTGATGATTTCATTTGTCAATAAGGCACCCAGCAGAAATGGAACAAAATACCATTTCAGTTTTTACTTGCTCAAAGTATGAATTAGTGAAAATCTCAACTTAAAAGCTAGCAAGAGTGTCATTGAAGGATGAACATATGAAATTCAAATTTCATTGTTGTACATAAGAATGTCAGGAATGTGACATGCATATAAGTTTGAAATCAACAGCGTTTTAACAAATTGTCTTGTTTGAAATTATGTGATGCCTGTAATATACCAGCTACATTGTAGTATTAGTAAATTGTTTGGGGACGTAAAAATGGAGGTGGGGGTGGGACAGTAACACATTTGTTGGAAATAAATACACTTGCTTTTAAATGTATAGACTATGATCTTATTGAAAATGATCAAATATTGTACATTTCCATTTTTTCTGCAAACAAACCATTTATATCCCAAAGACAAATATTATTTAAATAAATTCCTGTTGATGTTGCTTCTTAAAAATAACTTTTGTGATATTAACTGAGACAATGCATGGAATTTAAATCACACAAATATTCTCAAATTTAAGATTTGGAAGTAGAAGAGCATTGTGTCGTAATTTGTGATTTTAACTTTTGCTTTTCAGTTTTTTAACTTCACATTTATAGTATAAAAGTTAGACATTTAACAGGAAATAATGTAGTGATCTGTCTTTTTCAGAGTTTTGTTTTACTACACTATAGTAATACTAAACTATGGTATATTATGCTGTACCAGACAATTTGGGGCAAGAAAATAATTTGAGACAAATCAATCTATTTACAGCTTAAAGTTAAGAAACACTATATATTGAGACATCTTTACTGTGTTTGATGTTTTAAACTATGATAGCATGTTAAATTCTCACATTCATTTGACAACAGCGACATATTTTGAGAATGTGAATGACCTTTAAAAGCCATTTTAACTTGGAAGATCTGGTCAATGCTTATGCCTTGTTGAAATGAATGTAAACTTGCATAAATTCAGAAAAAAATGTTGATGTTGCACTGCTAACATAGCAAATAGTGTCTAGCTAATGGGAAATGTGTGAACCAATTAAAAAAAGCTCTTTTGTCAAATGTCAACATACTAGACTAAATGACAAAACTTCATAGTTAGCTATTAGGTGATATGTACAATCGCTTTGTGTTCCTTCTATAAATTGAAAAGTTCTTTTGATCTTTTTTGTACTCTGCAGATAATCTTTTCTTTCCAATCTTTCCTCTGTTGGCTTTAGTTGACTTAAGGCTAAGCAAAATAAAATAAAATCGGTTCCTAAATGGATCCCTTTAATTCACATAGTCCCAGGGAGCACATCTTGGTTTGTAAACTTTGGAAATTGCAGTATAACTTTATGCTACACCCAGATTGGAGAAGGCTAAAATATTGTTATTGTTTAGTTATGAATGAGCAAATTTCACCAAGATCTTTCTTGTAATTTCTCTGTTCTGGTTCAAGCATAATATATTTTATTGATATATATCTACAATTTAAATAATAAATGTGATAATAGTACCATGTAAAAATAAAAATGTTTAATGCAAACAGTATTTATAGTTTCTAAAGATTTATATTCAAATATTAATCTTTTACAAAATATAGCCTTATGTATATGTTTTTCTAATCAAATTATTGTAATAATGCTCTTTTATAGATTCAAGAGAAATAAAAGTACGTTCAGATTAAAGATGTGGAGTTGCCATAATTTTTCTCTTTTCCTCTTGCATCTTCTTTTACCATTTTTTCTAATCTTTATTTCCATTTGTAATTTATATAACAATAAACTTTCATAAAAGAGTAAATTGTTGGCATATGTTCAAGATCATATTGTTGTCTTTCTTTTTGTGCTTTATCTTAATTTAAAATTGTACATAATCATGTTATGATCTGTTTTGTAGTCATCTGGTTATGTCTATTTTGTTATAGCTGAATTCCTCTACCTTCTTGTAGCACTATAATGTGAATTTCATTTCTATGTGTTCTGCCTGATGATGTCCATGTAAAAAGGCATTGCTTTGATTATTTGAAAATGCTGTTACAGGAAAAAAATATTGGATTGACAGAAATGGATTAAATTCTCTTGTTTGGTTTTGATTTCAAATGATGTTGTCCAACTGCATTTTTTTCTATACTATTTACAAGTTTGGCATTCCAAACTTTGCTAACAGGTTTTGTTAAATTCAAATTGAACTTGATCATAAAATTTGTCAAATTCTTTTTCTTTTGCATTAGGAATTGGAGCATAAACCTGGATAACTATCATATTGAAGAGTTGTTTGTGAAGTATACTTGATATTAGAGGTAGTCCTCAACTTATAATCATTCATTTGGTGACTCTTCAAAGTTATAACAGCATTGAAAAAAGTGACTTGACCATTGCAGCATCCCGGTGGTCACATGATCAAATTTCAGAAACTTGGCAACTGGTTCATAGTTATGATGGTTGCATTGTGTCCCAGGGTCATGTGATCACCTTTGTGCCTTTCTGACAAGCAAAGCCAATGGGGAAACTAGATTCGCTTAATAGCCATGTTACTAATTTAACAATTGCAGCGATTCAATTAACCAAGAAAAGTTATAAAATGGGGTAAAATTCACTTAACAACTGTCTTGATTAGCAATTTGGGTCTCCATTGTGATTGTAAGTCGAGGACTATCTGTATTGAGTCACTGAGTGCTTAGTAGCCAGGTCCTGATTGGCTATTTGCTTCCTGAGTATGAAAACAACATTAGTTTTTTGTTGATCTCAATTTGTTGATATCTAAGATGTTAAAGAATAAAAAATAGTGCAGAAAAGGAAGAAAAACATTAGAAAAATAGAAAAGTAGAAAAAGAATATAGTAAAGAATACATATACATATACATATACATATACATATACATATACATATACATATACATATACATATACATATACATATACATATACATATACATATACATATNTCTCACAGTTACTTTTCTCTGATGAGTAAAGACTTTCAATCTGGGGGAAATGATTTGAAGGCCTCTGTGTTAAAAAGATATTTTGAAGTATTTGTTTTTGTTATTTTTGCTTGTTAACAAGTTGCTACTGTCAGATGAGGACAATTTTATTGACTATTGTTAAAACTAGATTATTAAAAATAATGGTAGCAACCATTATGCAATTCTTCTTTTAAGGAAACACAGCTCCATCTACATTTCCTCCCCAAAACGGATCTGATTCTTTGTTATTGCTCCCTTTTATATTTCATTCTTTTGAAAACTCCCTTCAATGTTATATAATGGAGTTGTTTTTGGTTTGTTAATTTCATTTGCTCAGAAAAAAGTGAGATTTGTTTATAGTTTCGTAAATCCTGGTTTGAACTGCAAAACTTTTATCACAATCTGTCTAAAGTAAACATTTTCCACCTCACTGATTACAGCGTGAAAACTTTAACCATGTTAAATACTGTAGAATATGCCCAATCTACATTGCCAGCTGCTGTAATTAGAAATATTTCTATTATGTGATATAGCATTAAAATATGTCCACTTTCTAGGGGCAAACCATTATATATGGAAAGTTTGACAACATTCTTCCAGAAGAGGCTGAATTTTACTTTGTTTACAAAGGATCAATACAGAAACATGTAGTCTTTGCCAAGCAAGTTACTGAAAACACTCTTGAATCTATAATTCCAGGTGAGTGGTGTAGCTCTGCTACATTGTCCATTTTTCTTCTTATTGCAGCATTTTAATCTTAAATTTTGGAAGAGCTATAAATTATTGAATTTTGATTATTTCATTGTTATCACATTGGAAGCCAAATGACAGCAAGTGAGTTTTTGTCTCTTGTGTACAGTTACTGGGCTAAGACGTAAAGTCTGCTTCCAGATAATTACTAAGCATAGCAATAAGAGGCAGTGACTTCCTCAAAATGTCTAACCTTTTCTTAGGAGCACTGCATTCTCCACATTGATTAGTTTCTCCTTCTCCAAGTCCAAGCATTATTTATAATCCTACTTAATATATACAGTTTAAAGAATCAGGGATGAAAACCTTTTCTTACAGTCTATATTCCAATCTAAAGCATGACCTATAAAAGCATGACTTATAAAATTTGCTAGTTTTTACAGCTTTTCGATAACTATTTGTTAACTATGGTTAGATAGACATAGGCAATATTTTTCCATTAACATTGATTGATTGATGTGCTATTAAGTCATTCTTGATTCCTAATGACTTCACTGATAGATTTTTCTCCCAGATAATCAATCCCTAGCATTATCCAAGCTATTTTTTTATCTTTTAGCAATTACAACTGAACCCAGAATTTTGGTCATAAGACATTGTGGTCACTAAACGAGTTGCCATGACCTGATTTTATTTTACTACTGTTTATACAACATTAAATGAATCATGTGGCTGTTAAGAAAACCATGTGGTCATTAAGCAAATCCATTCCCCTGAATGGGTGTTTTTTGTAAGAAACCAGTAAAAATGTTGGAAACTGGCGAAAAAGTTGCATGTTGTCACATGACTGAGGAATATTGTAACTGGTCATAAAGATGAACTGATTGCCAAAACACTTGAACTGTAATCATGTGATCATATTGGGGAGGGATGCAGCTGTCCTATCTTTGAGGGCAGATCATAATTAGCTTTTTGAGGTAATTTTGAACCATTGTTAAATGAGGATTACCTGTAATGAAGTAGCTATTGGGAGAATCCGCTATCCTTGCCATGCTAGTATCCTATACTGATGAGTGCAGAAGTAATTATAGTATTATTTGCATGGCAGGCAGTCGCAACCTGGCTTGCTATGTCACATTGGTGTTCAAATAAAGCTCATGTAATACAACCCCTTTTTGTTTGTATTAATAACAGCATCTTCGCTGATAAGGCAACTCTATGTATGCTTTAACCATAAATTCCAGAATTTATAGCCAACATAATGTGTGTAGGGCATGTTTTTCTGCCTGAATCAGTTGGTGTTCTGGCTGGATATTAGTAACACTAATATCACATGGACGGTGCAAATTGCACTAAATAAAAAAGAGAAATATAAATAAGGCAACTGACAACTGAAAAATATATGTATCAACCTTTCTGTTACTTCTAATATTACTATGCATTGCCTATGTATTTTCAGTCAAGTGTATATATGTGTATATAGTACATGGTGAATACTATCAATTGTTTATTTTTTTCCTGCACATATAGTATATGAGAATTGAATCTGACTTTGATTCCAATTTTTTATACTTTAAGAAATGGCAATAAAATGTATTTTTGTAGAGGGCTTGTATTGAGTGCATAACATTTCATTGTTATACTTTTTCAGCTCATAGAGAACAAGAAGATGTTTCTGTCTTTGCGGTTATGTATGGAAAGGAAAGTGAATTTGTGATTCTGGGCTCCTCGTTTCTTACCTTCAAACATGACATTGCTTGTGAATTAGCATGCTTCTTGGTGAGTCAGGCCAACTGTCTCATTCCCTCCAGTCATCACACCCTTCTCAGTCAGTTTGATTTAATCGAGAGAGATTTGCAGTCAATGGATCATGACATTATGCTAGCAATGGCCTGTGAAGAGATTCCATCTTCCTGGAACATTGTTGGGAATAGTGCAGAAAATGGTAAGTAATTCTCATTAATTTTTTCTTTTATAGCATGCATGATTAGAATTGTTGTTGTTGTTGTTGTTGTTGTTGTTGTGAAGTCATGTCTGACCCATCACAACACTGTGGATAACGTCCCTCCAGGCCTTCCTGTCCTCTACCATCCCCCGGAGTCCATTTAATCTCACGCCAACTGCTTCAGTGACTCCATCCAGCCACCTCATTCTCTGTCGTCCCCTTCTTTTTGCCCTCCATTTTTCCCAGCATTAGGCTCTTCTCCAGTGAGTCCTTCCTTCTCATTAGGTGGCCAAAGTATTTGAGTTTCATCTTCAGGATCTGGCCTTCTAAAAAGCAGTCAGAGTTGACCTCTTCTAGGACTGACTGGTTTGATTGCCTTGCAGTTGAAGGGACTTGCAGGATTAGAATTAGATTAGAATTATCGCCTGCCTTTTATCCATCAGCTTGAAGTTGAGTATGCAATACTCCTTCCTCCCATTTTTTTCCATCACAATAAAATCGTGGGGTAGATTGGGCATAATATCTGTACCAAAATTATCCATGATTGAGGTTGGATTTGAAGCTTTGCCTCCTTGGTTCTATCTTTACTGCTATATCACTCTTTTACTTCAGCTTTGCTTCTTCTTTTCTCATGTATTCTGATTTTTATTGTTTTGTATATATTACCAGCATAAACATCAAAGACAACTAGTACAACAGAAATTAAATTTAAATTGTAAAATTAGATTAGGCACCAGAAATTAAACTGAATATTCTAAACAGGTTTGTGTCATATTACGGCTAATATATAAAATAGCCAATGAGCTAGAAACATTACAAAGCAAGGAGAATTTTTTTGATAGTTTTTTTTAAAAGTTGTTTCCCTAGTACATCTAATTCATTTCATGAATAATGCTTGTCAGCAACTGATAATTCAAAGCCTGCTAACAAGATTAATGTGGCGCTAATATGAGGTTTTCACTTTGACTACTAGCAGATGAACATTTTTTCTAATTTAAAACTGTTATGTAATAACATGTTCTTATTATATAAACAAAAGGAGACATCCTTTGCATTGAAGTGGTGAAAAGAATGTTGTAGTGCAGGAATTTTGGTAATCAACAACTTATTTATTACAACTCCTAATGCTTTGTCATTGATTGATTTAACCTTTATTAGGTATGATTTGTGTTTAATGACACTGTCATTATGGTGAAAAATGTAAATGGTTATATTTGGATTTTGAATTCAATTGAAAACCTGGATTTTGCTCTTCTGTGGGAATTGTTGAGCAAAAGTAGATTTTATCTTATTTATGTATGTTTTTAAAATTTTTATCCTGCCTTTCATTCAGAACTCAAAACAATATACTGGTACATAGAACTTCTGTCTCCCTGTGAGGCAGGTAAAGCTGGGAGAAAGTGACTGGTTCAAAGTAAGTCAGTGATTTCCATGATTGACAGTGGAGTTGTCTCAGTTTTCAGTTCTAGTCTATGCTTTAACTGTTACATATGTTCTTCTGGGTACTTTGAGATATACAATTCACAAAGTAATTATGCGTAATCAGAAAGATTACACAAAGAGATCTTATATATGACTTTCTGAAGTTTGACTTTAAGTTTCATGCCAAGACATTTCTCAAAGCTGGGTTTCTTCTAAAGTGATTGCTGTTAGTGAAATTGGGATAAGAAAGCACTTCCATTCTCATAAGGGTCCATAATTGTGTCTGGTGCCTGCCTTTGTAAGAAAGTAAAATCCAGTTTATTTAGTTCCAGTTAATTTTTTTTTCTCCTAAAGAGTTTCATACAGGACATAATTATATTAGGATTATAAAACACTTATTGTTACACAGTATGATCTGATGAATAATATGGCTCTTCACCTCCCCATCTTCCCAAACTGCAAGACCATGTTACAATGCTTTCTTTCAATTGGTTTGAAAATCATCTCCAGGAATGTTATGAGATGAAACTGGCAGAAATCTGGAGAAATTCCTAATTAGTTTTGTGACAAACATTAATAAAGGCTAAAGGCAGAAAACACCCTTTTCCAGAGCAAGGGACAGGAGGCTCCAGTAGCCATGAGACTGGGATGAAGCTGAAACCATGCCTCTGTGCTCTACCCTTGACTTTCCAGTTTCATCACAGTCCGGCCAGAAACAAGACACATAAAATTTGTGATAATTGTGATAATTCTTCTACTGGACCCTCCTTGCCTCTACAGCCTCCTGGAAAAGCAGTGCCAATAAGTGATCTGCGGTGGTTCCTTCACGGGCCACCAGGGAGATTCATTTCTTTGCTGGAGGCTGGGAAAGCCTCGGTCGCCCTGGCAGCGGCCATTATGGACCGCACGGATCATGTGGGCAGTTTTGCCTGACTCCTGGGCAATCGGGAGGCTTGCGGCTTGGGATTTCCTGCCCTACAGCCTCTCGTCGGCAAAATTTGCTGGCTGAGGATTTCGGTGGCTGGAATCGAGCTGCGGAGGCACCAGTAGAGCTTGCAAGAGCGCGAAGAGTCTTTTAAAATTGCAGGCAAGCCGTGGAGTGGCGGAGAGGCGCGTGGGTGCTGGGAGCCGAGGAAAGCCTTGGCGGCAGCCTCCAAACCTAATGGTGCTCATGGTGTTGGAGTAGAGGCTGCCTGGAAGCTTAGAAAACAGAGGTTTTTTCCTCTTTTTTTTCTCCTTGTCTCTGATGCAGCCAAA